CTCTAGGAAATACTATAGATGTGGATCCTTATTACATATATTAAGGGATTTCCCTTGTTCAGATATCGATGTCTCAGCTCTACCTAGGGGAGCAGTTCCAGTGGTTCAACTTAGCACATAACCTACCTATAGAGGTGTTATTTTTATGCTTAGACATGAGAGTAGAGGAATGTATCAACTAGTTCTCGATTCGACTATAAATGAGTCAACTTTTTAGATCATAGAGAGGTAGGGTTATGAAGTTGATGTCGTAGATAAGTTACTAGGAATGTACTCAACTATCTTAGTCTTTAATGTTGCTTCAATAGGCGTAAGTACATGTATTATTTTATGATGTCAAGTGAACTAGGTAAAAAACGTATTCGCATAGAGAATTCTATAGTAAGGAATTTAAGTGGCTAGAAGGTGAATCTTAGTAGAATAGACAAGACTGTCTTAGATTTTCATTGAGGGCTTGGGTTAGACTCGGTAGTCGACCTAGGAGAAATTATTAGCTCAAGTGAACTTTAACCTTAGGATTTCAGGTCCATAGATAGGAGAATATGTGATTGTTCCATGTTGATTTGAAGGTGTACTCTAAGAAAATGTTGAGCTGCAGAATCCTCTATCCTGGTGTGTTCCCTAGGGAAATATACGTGTGGGTTGTCAAGCTAGATATGAGAATTTAAAGATTTTTTTTCATTTCTAGTATAGGGTTTGTATGATAGACTCACAAAGATTTAATAATCCCAAGTTCAACATTAGAGATAAGGATCTCTATGAGAGTGTTAAGACTACTCAGGTTACTCTTGCTAGTATAGCGATCACTCTTGCATCAGAAAGATTAGGATATAACTCACCTAGTGCCTAGGTACTTCAATTGCTAACTGGGAATAGATGCCTCAAGTACTCACGAGGAGGAAGTTATCCAGGTGTACATTCTAATGCAGCAGTTCTGAAATTTCACCCTAGGTACTTAGGATACTATAGGTATGTTAGTGAGTAGCACATATGTAAACCACAAGGCAAATAAGAAATATTCAGGTAGCGTGGATGAATATTGAACCAGAGTTGCTTAACACAAATGTAGAGGTTGACGTTAAAAAGTCAATAATTTTCATCATAGCTTCAGTAGTCAGCATCGAGGTCGTGTATGGAAAGTGTCCATAGGATCTCAGCGTGTAGTATGTCGAGTTACATAAGTTCAATAATCAATAGAGATTTATAAAATTATGCACTAAGTTGACTCGATTGAGTAAAGTCAGACAGTGAAGGGTTTAGCGATAATAGTTGAACCATGGGTGGCATTTTACTTGTGGAACGTTTTAAGTATTCAGTGTTAGGATGACCAGATTGAGTTGTTATTCATAACAAGTAAATTTCAATAACAATATTTCTTTTAAGGATGGGAGAGTTACAACACCCCAAATTTCAGGCTAGTAGTTTCGGTTTAACTAAGAGGCATATAGTCCCCATTGATTTCATAATTTAAGTCGTTGGGCTTAATTGGGTTGGAATTAGACATAATTAGTCATAAAAAGGATATTTTTGAATGGTAGAAAGATGATAAAGGGCCAAAAGCATAATTGACCCATTTTTAAAAAGATGATAGCTTTTATCTCTTTTATCTCCATCTTCTCTCCGTTTTCTTCATTTCCTTATTCCATTTCTTCTCCAAGTGCCATAGCCAAATGTTAGTATTTTGAAACATTTCATACTTCTTTTAAGCACCAATCTTATCTTTAGTTCCTCCAGCAACTTTGTATTAAAGATTCAAGATTAACATTTCATGTTTTGCTTGAGAAATTGAGGGTTTGTCATCTAAGTCCTAGATGAGAGTGTTTGTTGGTTAAAGGAGCTTTATTTCAAGATTGTAACAACAATGTATTATATTTCTAATTCTTTGTGGTGTTAAGGCTTTCATAACTACGAAGAATTAATAGGATTTAGGTGGTTGAGCATGTTAGGGTTTTAACTTGATTTCATGATTAAAGTATTATACATAAAAAAGGTATTTTTATGCCACTTTAAAACCCTGAGTAACCTTCTAAAGCTTTAGTACATGATTAGAAACCAAACTGACATTTGGAATGATTTATTGGTGTTTCCCGAGCCAAACTAAGACATATTTGAGTTCGATTATCGATATTGAATGAATTACTGGATGAATTGGTGCAAAATCTAGGGATTTCAAGCAGGGAGTATCGATACTTCTGGAAGAGTATCGATACTTCTGGAAGAGTATCGATACTGCCCCTACAATATCGATACTTAGGATGTACAATATCTATATTGAGCCTCATTTTCAAAAACAGAAGCCATTTTTGGTACCGATACTCGGTAGGGGTGTGCAAATTCAGATATCGGATCCGATCCGATCTAAAAAATTCGGATATCCGAAATTTTGGATAAATAAAATAATGACCCAAATCCGATCCAAAAAATAGGATATCCGAAATTTCATATTTCTGAAATTTTGGATTGAATATTCGTATATCTAATCCGAATATAGTATTTATTTTATCGAAAATTAATTCCATTTATTATATTAGATTATATATAAACTATTCCACGGTTTAAGAGTATATATAAATTATATCTAATTATATTGAATTATATATAAAATGTATATTTTCATTTCATATATTTATTTTTAATATTTTCATAGTTAATATACTTATCATTTTACAAATATATCTATTATACTGAATTATAAATAAATAATATAAATATATATAATCACCTTAAAGTAAAATTACCTAGGAGGCTATGACATAATTCGAATTTAATTGATCGGCGATACACTTCCTTTTAAAAGAATTCATATTGAATATAAACAATATTTAATATTAATATTATTCAAAAAATGATATCAATATTAATATATCTTTTAATAAAAAAAATTTACTGGGAACTGGAAAAGCATGGAGTTACTATGCCATTACTTTTCATGGAAAGCTTTTTGTGAACCAAGCAAATAAAATGGAGCTATTGAAATTTAATAAATGGACTTATTTTTTTGAGAATTTTCTCCACTGCTGAGTTTATCAATTGTGTGAACCACGCAAACATATTAGCATTATGAGGGTAATTGTCGAATATAACTAATGGTCCAATTATCATTGTAGGCTAGGAACTGGGAAAGCATGGAGTTACTAGGCCTAGGGTTATAAAGGCTCATTTTTTTCAGATATTCAGATAATTTGAAATTAAATTTTTTTTGATCCGTATCCGATCCGATTATCTGAAATTTTTACCGGATATCCGATCCGAATTATTCATAAAGAAAAATCGGATTGGATGTATGAATTTTCGGATCGGATTATTCAGATCGAATATTTTTGCACACCCCTACTCATAGGGGTATCGATACTTGACACTAGGGTATCGATACTGCAAGTAGAGTATCGCTACTACTCACTTCGAGTGGTTAGAATTGACCTATTTAAGGCTCATAAGAACTAAGAATGGTTCGTAATGGTAGAACTTAGTCTGTGAAAGACATAAATGGCCAAATGGGCCCAAAGACACTCATAGGAGCGGGTTACAACCAAAGTAACCATAGCAAGCGTAATGCATCCAAGTATCTTTAGTTTAATATGTAACGAATACCTAAGAATGAAGGACCATCACATAGGAGGTACCAACAAATGGTATGACGAAATAATCAAATTATGAAACAGCGGAATCGTGTACTACAAGAATGACATCGAATGATGTACTTACAATTGTCCCTCTAATTCGAGGGTGAATTGAGGGAAAGTGTGATGAGAACGAATAGAGTATCACTACCCAATAATGAACCCACATGTTATCAGGCTAGCTAGTATCAAAGCCAGTGAACAGAAAACACAGTGATAGTCGAAAAATCATGAAACATATTGAGACAGAAATAACTAAAATACCCTTACATAACGAATGACTAGAATAGAGTATCTTAATAAACTAATAGCAATAACAGACTAATAAACTCTCTTATAACGTTCTAGGTAAGAGAACGAGTGAGGTAACAGCTAGTGAGGGGATGACCTCACTTTAGTGTGTCTAGTTATGCTAGAGTGTGGTAATGCTACCTTAGTTGCCTTGGTAGGGCATTATTAGTGCGCGAGGCACTTTAAGGACTAACTGGGGCATGAGGCCTGAACACTCACGAGGAGTGGGCTAGCGATGTCAGTGTTGTGAGGTCTTTAGGCCCCTATATATGCATGTATAGTTGCATCAGTCTAGTACATCATATATTCTTAAAGCTTGGCTTGATGGTTATGTGATTCCGAGCCAATGCTTCAATTGATCGGGATTTGTACTGATACTATGTGACTCCAAGTTCTCCCTCCATGATCTACCTAATTTCTATGTGATGTTCAGGAGATCATTCAACAACTCAGTGGGAATTTCAATGATGCTATGTGACATTGGGTTCTGTCGGTTAAGTGTTAACTAGTGTCTGATGAACATGTGAGACCAGATACTAGTAGTGTTGCATTTAGATAATGCACATCAGAGTCAGTGTTGCATTTAGATAATTCACAAGAGTGTGTGTATAGTATTTATATAATGCGTAGTAGTTATGATCATTAGGGTTAGAGATCTTTTAGAGGTATACTTATGGCGAGGACCTAAGCAGATGATTAAGGGAAGCACGAGACTTGTACTTCAGTGATAGAATAATCGAGCCCTAAGTAGGTAGCACTTGATCAAGATCATGCATGTACTTATTGCTTAGTACCATATCTTTAACATACTTATGTTTATGCGACTCATAATGCTGCTCTAGATTAGTGATTATACTATTGCGCTTTGTAAGCTCAACATTCAGATATTTTCCATTCGCATGTCAGTATCCAGAGCTGTTCGTATAACACCACCGCAGTAGGACTTTTAGCATCTCCTTCAGAGTATTGTACTATAGCTTTAGTGGGCATATGTATTCATAGAACCTTACTCATGTATTCAAATTTATAGCTTAGAGTTTATATTATTTTGATTTTATATTATATGTCACGGAGCTCCAATTTTTATAAAAAAAATTGTAACTGTTATTTATGTTTATTATGATACCATTCAAATTATTTGATAAAAAATGAACATGTTTTGAAAATCAGGGGTTGCCTTGGTAGCCCAATATGACACTTTAGGCTCAATCGGGTTTAAGGTGTTACAAGTTTTGCTGGGTTATGTTGCATTACAGATTTTTTATGTTTGTTGATTAGGATAAGTGATATTTTTCATATGTGTATGTAGTTTTTAGGGTTCTGTTTCAAAATAAAGTTGATTTTTAGGATCCTTTTTCATTACATATTTTTTATATTTGTATGTTTAGATTCATCTTGTGTTTCAAAATAAAGTGGCCATTGGGATTCCTTCAAAATATACCTTTATGTCTATATATGCCTTTATAATATGCCATGGTTTTGTTTGGTATGCATTTAAAATAGTAGGATTTTTTCTTGTATGCCTTTATATATACATTTACGAATTTAGGGTTTACTGATTATTTACATGTGTTAAATGCAATAGGTTCTATTTACTGATTTTGTTTGCTTTATAGGTAATGGGTCAGAGAAATTTACTTGTGTGATTCATTATGGTGGGTACTTTTTGTCTTTACCCAAAATGAAGTATACGTCAACAACTATAGAATACTTTGACTTGGTTTACATAGATACGTCTCAATGTTTGTTGTATGTGATATGGTCCAGAAGATAGGTTTAGATTATCTTATTGAGGTTTTTTGGAGAGTACCTAGTGTTGCATTGTCTGCTGCTTCTGTTAACCCACTGCAGAATGATCATGACTGTATGACCATGATAAGCAACATGCCTCGTAATAGATACATGCATGTTTTTATAGAAGAAAATGTTACAGTAGTTAAAGAAGAAGTTATAGTAGATGATGAACAAGATGCAAAAGAGGATGAACAAAATGAAGAAGTTGAAATAAAATATGAACAAGATGAACAAGTTGAAGAAGAACCAATATACAATAGAGGAAGAATGTGTAGAAGAATCTGAAGGTGAAGAATAATCTTTTGAGCTTAGTGATAATGATTTTGATTGGGGAGGAAATAGAGAGAATATAGAGGACATAAGAATTAGGGTTCAAAGGAAAATTGATAATTTTAGGGTTGAGGGTGTACGTGTGAATCCTAAACTTGAATGAGATAATGAAAAATATGATGAACTATATAGTGAGCATGACTATGACTCATATGGGCCTAGGTATCTTGAATTCAATTATGAGACTGACATGGCCAACCCTCAATTTGTTAAGGGTTTAATATTTTTGAACAAGAATTCAGTAAAGGAAGCTGTAAGACAATATGAGAGGATTAATAAGGTTACAACGAGGTTTAAGAAAAATGACATCAAAGGGCTTCAAGTAATTTGAAAAGAAGGTTCCCATGGAAACTCTAGGTTGGCCCAATGTTGCCAAAGGATACTGTAAACCAGAGTTGGTAGATAAAAACACTTGTTGATTCGCATACTTGTTCAAAGGTGATGAAGAATAATAATATCACGTATGTATGGATTACAAAGTATTATATTGGAAAACTTATGTTTGACCCAAAATATGCTCTTAGATCACTACAATGAGATGTGTTGGAAAAATTTGGTACACTTGTGTCACTTGAAAAATGTTCTTTAGTTAAGAATACTGCCCTGAAAATGATTGAAGGGAATCATAAGGACCAGTATGAAAGGATATAGACTACTTGCAAGAGTTGAGAGTCACAAATCCTGGAATAACAACAATTTCTCATCTAGATTGTAGATTGTTTCAGGGGTTGTATGTGTGTCCACAAGCATGTAAAGATGGGTTCACATATGGTTGTAGGAGGATAATCAGCTTTGATGGTTGTTTTTAAAGGATATTTTCCATGGATACTTGTTGGTAGCTGTAGGGATTGATGCAAATGATTGCATCTATCCCATTGCATATGCTGCAGTGGAAAGTGGGAATTATGCTTCTTGGTACTGATTTTTAGACAATTTAAGAACTGACTTGGAGATTAAGAATAATGCATATATATGTATCATGTTTGACAAAGAGAAGGTTATCTCTCGAACGTCGAATTTTTTATGCTTTATTTACTTCTTATTTATTGATGCTGATTTTATTTATTTTTTATGTAGGGACTTGTTGAAGCTGTTGAAAAATTATTCCCTAATGTAGAAACTAGAAGATATGTTAGACATATGTATTTAAATTTCAAGGAGAAGAATAAAGGGAAAGCACTAAAAGTTACTGTTTGAAAGACTACTAGAGCTACCTATGTCCGAGAGTTTGAAAATGCTTTAGAGCAGTTGAAGATAATATCAATCGAAGCATATAATTAGATTAAGGAGAAGGACCCTGCTTAGTGGTCCATATCACATATGTATTATCACATTTGTATTTTTTACTACTAATAAAGTGTCTTTATTATCTAATTAAATTTATTTTTCTCTTATTCAATGCAATCTATTTTGGAGGCTAAGGATAAGGCTATATTAACTTGAGAAAATAACTTCAGTGACCGAAAATGTCTTATAATATACGATTTTAACCAACTTTTTTTGGATTTGCGAAAATAACCAACAAATTCGCAACACGAACTCCAGTTTCGCAACACAGTTTCCAAAATCGCAACGCGATTCTCCAAAAGCGCAACGTGGTTTTCAAAATCGCAACGCGGTTCTCCAAAATAGCAACGCGGTTTTTCAAATTCGCAACGCGTTGCGAAAATAAACGCGCTTTGCGAATTTGACTTCTGTGTTGCGAATTACAAATTCGTGTTGCGATTTACAAATTCGCATTGCGATTTACATATTCGCGTGTTGGAAACTGATTTGCGAAATTAGAGTTCGCGTTGCGAATTTGTTGGTCATTTTCGCAAATCCAAAAAAAATTGGTTAAAATCGTATATTATAAGGCGTTTGCGGTCACTAAAGTTATTTTCTCTCTTTGATGAAAATATTCGGAAAGAAATTATGAAACGACTTGTTACAAGAAGTGAGGATGCTAAAAAATATCAAAGTTTATTGTGTAAAAAAATACAAAGAAAATTGGACATTACTATTGAACAAGGCTTAAGGTTAATTATCCAATTTCATAAATGAATTTTAATCTTTTAAATGTTACTATAGGATTATCATTTTAACTTATTTTTTCCTTACATATGTTGGCTCACATATGCTGGTAGCAATAAATTTCAAGTTGAAACTGGTCTAAACGATCAACATATTATGAACCTTGGGCAGGACACCTATACATGGAAATGAGACCTCATTGGCATCCCATGTCCCCATGCAGCATCAATCTTTCGATTGAACAATGAATGGCCAAAAATCTATGTCAATGAATGTTGTTGGAGGAGCACTCAACTTGTTATTTATTCCAACATGATGAACCCAATAAGGATAATACTTAACTTGTACTTATTCATTAATTCAACTATTTTTATTGATGTGTGTGTTTTAAATTTATTTAGGTCTCAATCAATGGACTCTAGTAACAGACATGGAACCAATTTTACCACCATCTTTAAAGAGGCCACCAAAAGGATAATCCAAAAAGAGAAGAAAAGAAGCAGATAAACCAAACAATCCTAAGTTGAACAAGAGAAGGCAAGAAGCAAACTGTACGAAATATGGTAAACAAGGCCATAACAAAGGGGACTACTTACATAGTTTTCCCGTTAGTTTTTTAGCTCTGCCCTATCTTCGCTCAAGTGAGAAGGGGTGAACCATCAATAATAAACAAGCTAAATTTGTTCCTATCAACAATTAATTCGGTGAGTACGAACAAACTTCACGATCGAAAAAATCAGTCAAATTCTCACCTAAAAACAACAATCATCCTCAGTTCCCCCAAAGACTAGAACATCTATCCTCATATATGGTTGATCTATTGAAGTAGGCCAGATATGCTTATGAGTGGGAGAAGGACAAAGAAAAGAAGAAAGCTTATTACCTCTGGACCAACGCAACATCTCTATCACCCTAAGACGTGTCGTGGCAAAGCATAGAGACCGAGAGGCATCGGGCGTTAATACCTCGCCCTCGGCCACGACAATGATAAAAAGGTTCAAAGTGCGCAAAGAAGCATCCATGAAGATCACGAGGGGCCGCACCAAAAATAATGATAGCCGAAAGGGTGACATGGAAAAGTACGTGCAACTCAAAGGCTCCCTTAGCGGCTCTCGAGCACCAACGAGTTCTGCCAAACTTAGATACACGAAAAATCCTCTCCAGAATAGCATGCAGTTGTCTTAAACAAACATTTTGGTCTCTCTATCTCGATATCAAGTCTCCTAGAAAGTTTATCTTATCTCCTTTCATACTTGCTTACACGAATTAATAAAATACACACCCTTAAAATGCGGACTAAATGATGATGAAGGGCTTAGATTCCTTTACATCTTATTGTGATGTATAAGAATTATTAGATTAAAAGACTAGTGGGGTAATCACTGCATTCTGTCCATTGACTGACGAGCACATGCGCAGGGTCTTTTAATTCAAATATCTGGTCAACCATTTCGTGACGCACGTGTACTCTTTGCCTACCAATAGAATTTATCATCAATGTTGATTGTTTAACCCTTTTCGCCCCTCTTAATCTTACTATAATGTAATTAAAAAGTATTAGCTGTGACTATGGATCCTATGTTTCGGGTTAAACATCCAAAGCAAGTCGCTTTGGTCTAAAGTTTTCCAATTAAATTTTAAAAGCAAGAATTTACCATTTAAATCAAACAAATTGGATCTGAAGATTGCTTTTTTATTATTATTAAATTAAAATAATTATAAAATAACATTTATTTTAAATACTCTTAATCATTTAACAATTCACGTTTAATCATCCTTGTATTCGTTTTTATTATTCTTTTAAATCAAACAAATACATATATGTATATATTAAATGTAAAAAATGCTTTGTGAGATAAGGGGCTGCAGCCCCTTCCAACCTTTATATAGACCTGTTTCTGCTTTTATTTCGGTCACGAGTATTAAATTGATGAATATTAGAAATATAAAAACTATATTTGATT